ACATAACTGCCACTGCAGTCAGAAAGTGCTCTTTGATGTCTAACCTAAATCTTTTTGGAGCTTCAGCTTGAGCTCCTTTCCTTCTTACAAATTCTATTACCTGTCTTTAGGAAAAGAGGAGGCAGACAGGGAGGGAAGGAGGGTACAAGGAAGAGAAAGGGGAGAATGGAAGGGAAGGAAAGAGAGGGGAAGAAAAAAATTGTGTTATCCTTTAAACCAGCATTTCTACTTTGGAGAACATATTCTACAGAAATACGCAAAGATGTTTAATGAAGCTCTGTAGTGGCCAAAATAATAAAATAAGGACTGTCCAGCCATAGGTGAGTATTTCATGAATATTGTTGACATAGGAAAATTCTAATTTCTAATTTTAAAAAAAAACCAGCTTGCACAACAGTATTAGTGTATGATCTCATTTTGTGGTGATGATCATATTACTAATTATATTTATAATATAGGCATATAAATATCCTGGAGAAACAAACGCCAAATGGTTAACCTCTGTTCTGGTTGCAGTATCGTAAACCAGTACTTAAAGCCTTAACACAACAGTTTAGGATTATTTGTCCTGGTTCTTAGGCTGACTGGGCTCAGCTGGCTGGCTCTTGCTCGGGGTCTCTAGCAGTTTCAGCAGAGGGGCAGCTGGGACTGCAGTTTTCGGGGGTTCCATTGAGCTGGACATCCCAGAGTGCTCACGCACGTGACAACTGATGTTGGATGTCAGCTATGAACTCACCTGGGGTTTTCAGAGTCCCTACACATGGCCTCTGCAAGTGACATGGACTTCTCACAGTTGGACTCCAAGATAGAGCATCCCAAAGCCATTTTTCTTTTGAAAAACTTACAGTCTGGTTGTGCAGTGTCACTCCCACAATAGTCTACTGGTTAAAAGTGAGTCACAGGACCAACTCTGAATCAAAAGGAAGAGACTACACAAAGGCATGAATACCAGGAGGTGGTTCACTGAGGGTCATCTAAGCAATTAGATATCGTAATGTTTCTAGAAAATGGGATTTGGACAGACTTTCACTTTCCAGTGTCTGATGTAATAGTCAAATGTACAAACGCAGGAGACAAAAAGCCTGGCTGTCCTGGCTCACCACCCACTTTCTGTGTGACCTCAAACAAGTTACTTATAGCCTCCCTGAGCCTCAAAGCTTTCAGATAACTGTTATGACCTCATAGGGTGGTTGTAAAGATTAAATTGAAGTATTGTGTGTAACATGCTCAGAAATAAATGCTCAATAAAAGTGAGATAATAATATTATTATACACTGATTTGTTTAATTTTTACAAGTATATTTTGCTTTTATAACTGAAAAAAATAATTTTCAAAGACCAAAAAACAAGAGACATGTAGCAGAATTAAGAGATGTAAACTCAGAACTCCCAGCCAGGGCTCTTCTGAGGAATCTGAAGGTACTCTTGGTCCTCGTAGACATAGAAAATACCTCAGGAAGACCTTGACCCTTCCCCTCTGCTCCAGTCAAGCATCCAGTGGTGAGGTCTGGCAGTCCAACCTGTGTTGTTCTTTTAGCTGTTCCCCAAATACTCTCAAATTTGAGTATGGTAAGCTGTGAAGTATAGGAAATGAATTCCCCCAATAATATAACCAAGAAGCTTTGCAATCACAAGTCATGGGCTTTATATTACCCAGGAGCTTAAACCTGTCCAAAGACAACATTGACAGAAAGGATTTGTTTTTTAGAAGCCTTGACATTTTGATCATGAAGTCCATGGGGACTTGCTTGGGTGGGATTTGGTTGGGTTTCCACACAACAGATTCTTGGGCCAGTTAGTTTGAGAAAAAAACTAAGAAATGGAATTTCAGACGGTGATGACTTGGGTTCCTTCGCTTATTCAACCTTTATAAATACACACAGACCCTGTCAACACCACTCCTTTTCTTTGGGGAAAAAAACTGTCACAGTGGAAATGAAAGGATTTTTCAATGTGAGGAATTATAGCAAATGTCAAACCTTAAGAGTTGAAAATTCTACCTCCTCATTTCTTTTTCAGAAAATCAATACACAGGCACTGTTCCATTCCCCTCTGGGTCTCTGTGGCTCACACATCTCTCTCATCCCAAGGATGTCTTAAGTGTTCTTGATGTTGCCTTGGAGGCAAATCTACCTGCATGAAAGAAATGGGAAACTCAATGGCTGTGGGTTAGTTTCTCGAGAGACGCAATTACTAGGAACTTAAGGAAATGTCAAATATGAATAGCTGGCAATTTCATTTGGAGCTGATGACTTGCCTGGCTTAAAGCATTAATTAGATGGAGCTTGAATAATTTTAAAGAGTTTGGTTATGGAAAATTTTTAGCACTACACAACAAATAGGTTTTGATGAGGAAATAAGAGATGGTGGTGAGGAGTCACTCTCTGCAGAATATATACAGTCAGCCCTCTGTATTTGTAAATGGGAACCCACAGAGTCAGAGAGCCATCTGTACTCTACAATTTTATATACAGGACTTTAGCACTGGCAGATTTTGGTGTCACAGGAGGGTCCTGGAACCAATACCCTGTGGATACTAAAGGATGACTGTATAACATTTTTTTCTGGGGACACCTCAACATTTATTCATTCTGTCCCCCCTTATAAGTCCGGAGCAGAGCAGGGATATGAGAGCGAGTGTGAGCATTATTTAATGAATGGAAAAAAGAGGTTCTGAGAAACAATGGCACTTTTCTAAGTCAGAGGCAACCTAGAGAACAGGAATCACTTTTCTCTGGCTGGAAACAAAGTGGAACTTGATATGCCATAAAGTCAGACAAAGCTGGATAAGTAAATATTTGAAATTTCAGGATTAACAATACAAAGAATTTTGCTTTAATGGGCTTCTTATCTTAGGTGTTGACTTAAAGTTTACTTATAATTTTTCTTTATTATACAGGGTGTAACATACCTGCATGGTACTCCCACCCCTGCTTAGAAGTATTGATATTATCATGTGGTTTCGAGCTTGGGTATTAGTCCTGGGTTTGAATATTGGATAATTAGTATAACTGGTACCTTAACTCTCCACCACTTCCGAATGTTATTTCAAGGTGTTTTGAACAAGAACAAGGACAGTACAGACTTAAACAAACAATCAAAAGCCTGACAGTTCCAAGTACAGAGGTTATGGAGCCACCAGAACTCACGTACACTACTGCTGGGAGTGCAGATTAGTAAAACCACTCTACAGAACAATGTAGCAATATCTGGTAAAGATGATGGTGCACATACTCTGAAACATAGTAAACACACTTCTAATATGTGTATACTACCTGAGAGAAACTCTCACACATAGCTACCTCTCACAGAGAGTCATATCAAGGTATTAACTATAGCAGATTGAAAGAGCAAAATCCTGAAACCAGTTTAAATGTGTGTGTGTATATATATATATATATACACATACAAATGTCTATATGTCAGTATACATATACACTATAGACAGCTAGATGTATATGTCTATGTAATATGTGCATATGTACATAGAGACATATATAGACATAAGTTTGTATATGCATAAATATGTCTATGTATAAGTGAATAAATAAATTGTGGCAAATTTATTAATGGAATTGCTCTATAGTCATTAAGATGAGTGAAATAGATCTCCATGTATCAATAAAAATAGATCTCAAAAGCATCTTGTTGAGTGAAAAACACCCCCATGTAGAGTGGCAGGTTCTGCATAAAAGAAAGTTAAGATTATGCAAACGTGGCCCTAGAGACGACAGCACTGTGGCTGTCTCTAGGGAGGGAATAGGAGAAGGAAAGGATGAGCTAGAACAATTTCAAAGATTTCAACTACATCTATAGCATCATTTCTTCTTTAAAAAAAAATTAAAGCGTATGTGGCAGGATGTTAACATTTGTTTAATCTGAGTGATGAATACGCCAGGGTGTGTATATCAAAGACATCTTCACTTGTGAACTATTGTGAAATAACTTTAAAGATGCATGCAAGAAAGACAGCCCTGGATACCAGACCTGCCACTGCACTTCAAACAAGGGACATAAATTCCCTGAGACCCATGTTTGCAAAATATGATTAACCATGTTCAAATTTCAGAGTTGGTTGTGAGTTAATGAGAGTAAAGTGTAGAATGACTTTCAGATGTTATCCATTGGGATATCCTTTTAGAATGAGTCCCTAATGACTTTCCAGATGTATCTTATTCAGAGAGACATTTGCTTCTTAAAATTGATCAGAAATTATGTGGATGCGTTTCAAAACAATTCTGATCCCCAGAAAAATATATTGCTACTCTTTTTGCAAAACTATATACATATGTATTACACAGACATGTAAAGCACTAATTATTGAACTATGATTGCCCTGAGGGAAGGGTAATTGGTTTGGAGAATAAGAGTGGAAGGAAATTTTACATTTCTCTGCTTTTAACTTTAATTATGTACCCTGTGTGTAGACTACTTATTCTAAAAAATATATAATTTATTTTAAAAATAATCTAAAGGTCATAACCTTCTCCATTCTATACCCACTTACAAAGGAAAGGTCTTAAAATCTAAGTTCTAAAGATTCTCAAGAGGACACATAGTCCAATCTCCTGCCTGAGCACAGAAAACGCCATTCCAGCCCCACATCCTCCTTGCAGTCGGACAAAAGAAAGAGCACAGAATTAAGGGTTAGGGGATCTGAGTTTGGTTCCTGTCACCATGAATTACTAACTCTTGACTCGAAGCGAGTTCCTTAAGTTCTCTGAGCCTCAGTTCCATTTCTGAAGTGAGGACAACAGCAGCAGCCCTGTCATGACTGTGTGAGGACAGATAAAACACAATGTGAACATGAAATTTTGTCAAAATAGTATCTAGATGTTTGTGTGAGAGGCCACTGCAGGACAGAAGTTTTCCCTCAAGAACGTGGGTTCAGTCCCTTTGATTTCCATGGGAGTGCCCAATACACTATTCCTAAGGGGCCCCTAGTAAGCAATGAAGTCATCTTGCTTCAGATGTAAACCAGATTCTCTTCTCTCCCACAGCAAATATCCTAACCGTGATCATCCTCTCTCAGCTGGTGGCTAGGAGACAGAAGTCTTCGTACAACTATCTTTTGGCACTTGCTGCTGCTGACATCTTGGTCCTCTTTTTCATTGTGTTCGTGGACTTCCTATTGGAAGATTTCATCTTGAACATGCAGATGCCTCAGGTACCCGACAAGATCATAGAAGTGCTGGAATTCTCATCCATCCACACTTCCATTTGGATTACTGTTCCATTAACTATTGACCGGTATATCGCAGTATGCCACCCGCTCAAGTACCACACGGTCTCCTACCCAGCCCGCACCCGGAAAGTCATCGTAAGTGTTTACGTCACCTGCTTCCTGACCAGTATCCCCTACTACTGGTGGCCCAACCTCTGGACTGAAGACTACATCAGCACCTCCGTGCACCATGTCCTTATCTGGATTCACTGCTTCACCGTGTACTTGGTACCCTGTTCCATCTTCTTCATCTTGAACTCAATCATTGTGTACAAGCTCAGGAGGAAGAGCAATTTTCGCCTCCGCGGCTACTCCACAGGGAAAACCACTGCCATCTTGTTTACCATCACCTCCATCTTTGCCACGCTCTGGGCCCCACGCATCATCATGATCCTCTACCACCTTTACGGGGCGCCCATCCAGAATCGCTGGCTGGTGCACATCATGTCCGATGTGGCCAACATGCTGGCCCTTCTGAACACGGCCATCAACTTCTTCCTCTACTGCTTCATCAGCAAGCGGTTCCGCACCATGGCGGCCGCTACTCTCAAGGCCTTCTTCAAGTGCCAGAAGCAACCCGTCCAGTTCTACACCAACCATAACTTTTCCATAACAAGTAGCCCCTGGATCTCACCAGCCAACTCACACTGTATCAAGATGCTGGTGTACCAGTATGACAAAAATGGAAAACCTATAAAAGTATCCCCATGACCCCATAGGTTTGGCACCTAGTGCCTGCCTCTGCATAATCCATTTCCAGATGGGAATGTGGCCCATCCTGTGGCTGAAGAGCTCTCCTTAAGAGTGCTAACCTGATTTCCTGTCTCCACAGACTGAGCAACTTTCAGACTGGTAGATGAGAAAAGATGGAGGAGAAAAACAACAAAAGCTTGAATCTTGTTTTCATTTATCCATTTGTTTCCACCAAGTCATGTAGACGGCAGAAGTCTCTACCAGTTTGAAGATGTCATTGGAGGTTGTGTCGTTCTCCTGAGGCCTGTAAGGACACACCAGAGAGAAATAGTCTATGGACTTAGGCTTGGCATCATCCACAGTCATTGGGAACTGCTCATTTATGTGATACATCAAGCCACAGTAGCACATAGCTGAGCCCACACTCTTCTTCCAAGAACTGAGGTCATCCATCATTTCCCTGTGCTGTTACCAGCAGCTAACAATGCAGACCAATTCGGGAATTTTCCAAGGCTCCCTTTGTCCTAGGGGGGGTTTTGGTCTTGAAGTGGCCCTGACATATCTATCTGCAGAATGACACTGAGGGGGCAGGGGAGGATTGAATCCTGCACAAACTCTGGCCAGAATTTCTGTGAAAATGCTCCAAACCAACATAACCATGACCCTCAGACCCTCGAGGGGTCTAAGATGCAGTCTTTCTATTTGCCATGATGTATAGGTTTTATCTAACACCTCCAAAACAACCCTGGTGTGCAGGGGCAAAGGAGGAATTCTTGAGCCCAGAAAACAAAAAATAAGCCCACTCTTGCCATTGTTTCAATCCACCCTTGAGTCAGCTGTGTATGATCTCTTTACTGAAATAGCTTCTTGTTGCCGTGGCACTCAAGCTTCCTGGAGAAGCCTTTATGTGTAGACTTGCCAGCCCTGCCACCCTGCTTGCTGAAGCCCTCACCAAACTGTTTTCTTTGAAGTGACTTTTGAACTGAATTTAATTTTCGAGGGTCAGGAACTGTAGCTCTCCAGGTGTGAAGGGAGGTAGTCTCAGCTCCACCCCACAGTCCAGCTGGCTTTGCCATTTGGCCACAAATGGTGATGGGAAGGTGCCTATGTTGTCTGCATGTCTGCCCTTTGATGCATATGGCTCAAAAGGGTGGTGCCAGTTTTCAATGATGCTATTTAACCCAAATCCTTTGCAAAATAATAAAATATGAATTTATTTATTCTGCCCTTGCCTGGACAAGGCAAGAACAGTTCTAGGGTATAATTAATGGAGGTTTCCCTGGGAATTACCACTCATGTGTGCATACACACAGACTTGAATACATTAGACTCCTGTGTACCCCATGATGTGTTTTTAAAAAAAAATCTATGCTGGAGTTTTTCTCAGTTGTTTTCTTTTTTTTTTTTTAACCTTCTCCCAGATTCCCAGTATTTGAAGTTATCTCTGTTCTGAAAGAAGTATTACAACATGATTTTGGAATTGTATATGTTTGGTGACCCAACAAAAAGCAGAGTCCACTTGAAACACTTGGCTCCTCGGGCTGGATTTTTACTGCACTTTTGTCCCTAAACTGGAAGACACATCTACCCTTTTAAAGGGAACTTGCAATAAACGAGCAGGGTAGAAAAGGCTCCAATGCCACATAACCCCGAAACTTCAGTCAATGCCCTCAGCATTAAATCAGTAAAACTTTAGGTTACATTCACCCTAAAGATCCTAATTCCTCTTCTGTTTAAATGATTGCAGAAGAGTCTCTCTCGTCCAAAGATTAGTTCTGAAGTCAGTGCAAATGGAAAAAATCTGGCAGAGCCAAAGTTACCTCTGCAAAGTTCTCAGGAAGGATCCATGTTGGAGACCATATTCTATCCCTTAAAATTCCTAACTCAGATAAGTTTTTTTCCCAGCATTGGAACAGTTTGCTGTTTCTTCCACTGAAGACAAGACAGAATTGATTTACATTTAGAGACTGTATTGTGTGACTCCATTGTATTCTAGAACATTAGGATCACACTGGTTCAGGAAGGTGCTCCCACTAAAAGATGTTCATGGGAGTTTGAATGAGAGAAGAACAGATTCATATCTCCCAGGTCACACTCTTCCCAGGGCAATGTGCATTGTGTGGGAGGATGGGCAGATTTCCCCTTAAGTTGCATTTCTGTTTCTGTTTTGCCAAGCATGTGTAGTTGGGTACCTGTTCATTAACTGTGTGTATGATATGACTCCATCACACCCCTTTGTGAATGAACCAAAGGCTACCTACACCTAATATATATAGATATTTATTTGATTATTTATTTTTAAACAATAGGTCTGAAAAATGCTAGTTTGAGCTATACATGAATGAGTCACCGTGCAATATCTATAACGGCTAAGCAATTCCTTTTTGAGAATGAATGTAAGATGAAAAATATGTATGTGGATCTCAATGCTCTCTACTCCACATTTTTAGGTGTGTGTAAAAATTAATTATTGATGTTTAAAAAGTAAAAGCTGAGTGTGTATTTGGAATGTTTTCCTCATACACTTGTTTATTACTTCTCTTAATAATAGAGGCTATACCAATTAGTATTTGTTCTCTTGTCCTTCTGACTGTATTTTATATTTTGATACAATAAAGTTTAAAAGAGTTCTCATTTTTGAAGGCAGTCCATGAGGTGTTGTCTTCTGGTTATAATGCATACAAATGTCTGTTGGCTTAGGTTGATACATATCTCCTAAAATTTATCTCAAATAATATAAGGACTTTTAATTTATTCTTATTTATAGTAATAATTGTGGACAAAATTTAAAAGCTTTTTAAAGAGAAAACAAACTTTTAAGCCTTTTCTTTCAGGCCAGTTTTGGAAATATAGCTTTGAATTTTGAAGCCTGTCACATAAAAAGCTGCTGTTGATGGCACATTAGCAATTGCCTTATATCAGGTTTTTGTGATTCCCCTTTCAAAGACTGTTAACTAGCATCCCTCCTGTATGGTCTGTGTCCTTGTTGGATGTGCAGTGATGCTACACACGTACACACTGTGTCTTTCTATTGAACAACTCAAGGACTGAGCTGCATAATGGGGAAGGAAATAAAGAGGATGACAAGCAAACCGTAAAAGACAGACCATGAGAAGGCATGAAGTTTCATTTTGCAAACACTCTGCCAGTGGAAAATGTTACTTTGCACAGTTGGTGCCTACTGGTCCCACCTGAGGGGCCTATCTGAAGTGAATGAGAGACTCTAATGTTGGTTATTCCAGTTCAAAGAATGGGGAAAATGTTACCATAAAAAAATAGTAAATGCTTTCTTTCATATTTTCTTAATTAGATATTATATTGTGTTTGGACTTGTTTGTATTATAATAAATTCTAATATGGTGCACAATTGGGGTTTCGTATATGCATATGTGCTCAAGAAATGGCAGTACTCCAATTAAAATTTTTAAATAAGTATCTTCCTTCTACTTTGTGCTGGTGCTAGAATGAACTCTGCATCCCACCTGCCCCTGGTTATCCAGGTATATTCCAGAATTGAAGACTATTGAACTTTGCTTTCGTGAATTCTAAATTAGGGATTTCCCCGGTAGTCCAGTGGTTGAGAATCCACCTGTAATGCAGGGAACAACAAGTTCAGAGAACTAAGACCCCACATGCCATGAAGCAAATAAGCCCACAAGCTGCAAATACTGAGCCTGCACACTCCAGAACCTGAACCCTGCAACTACTGAGCTGCAACTACTGACCCAGCGTGTGACCCAACGAAAGATTCTGCATGTCGCAACTAAGCCCAGATGCAGCCAAATAAATAAATAAGCTTTTTTTTTAATTCTAAATTATGTAGCTTACTGGGAATAAATCTGAATTCTCTCTGACTACATTCTCTAGGCATCTTTGAGATAGTGAGGGCTGTAACCATAGTGGAAATCTAGTATAACAGCTAAGAATTTAGGCTTTGAAGTCAGATGGTCACAAGTTCAAGTCCTAGTTTCACCACATACTAGTTGCGTGGCCTTGAACAAGTCCTTGAAGATCTCCGAAATATCATCCTCATGCAGAAAGTGGTGTAAAAGTTAACTTTTCCCAGGTAACTGCAAGGTAAGCAGACACTCTCAAGGTTAGGAAACCAAGGTTTGGAGTGAGTTATGGTAGGCTATAACTTTGCAGGCTCTACCACTTTCTAGCTGTGTAGCCTTGGGCAATGTTTTCAATCTTTTGGAGTCTCAGTTTCCTCTCCATAAAACTGTGCTAATAGTAATTCTAGTACATACTTCATGGGGTGGTGATTATTAATAGTACAGTTAAAAAGAGTGTCCATTGTACATTCTCTTATAGGTGAGGATGCTAGGCCCAAAGACATTAATGATTTGTCCAGAGTAGAACCCCAGTCACCCAGCACTTCATCCTTTCCACTCTACCTCACTGCATCTCTGCAAGATTCTGACTCATCCCTTCCAAATTTCACATTATTTTTGTGCCCTTTTTAGAGTTGAGTATATTGCCTAGTTTTCCAACTCTTCAGATACAGGTCATCCAAGCATAAGATATATTATAACAGCATCATAATTTAAACACTTGATTTGACCTTTCCCTGTGAGGTAGGATTTTTTTCATTGACTCTATCAGGAATCCTAACCACAGCTCTCAAACTAGCTATACATTTCCCACACATACCACCATCAATTCTGACAGCCACCAACAAACTATTGTCATAACCTATCTTTGCATCAACTTAGAGAATGAAAGTAACTTATAAATTGAGAGGGAAGTACAGAAAAGCAAAGATTTTGCCAAGAAGGTTGCAAACAGAAGCTGGGAGGCATGGCCACATTATTCTCATTAATTTTGTTCACCAACTCAGGGAGGCAGGATAAAAGTGAGTTGAAGGAGGTTGAACTGCTAAATAATAATCCTTTTAGTAGTACACTTGGCTAACTGTGATGGCTCAACCTCTGTGAGGGTGTGCAATTAATCTGAGTACTTGCCAGACACAACAAGGGGGATAAGAGTTTCATGTCTATGGGATAAATAGACACTGT